AGTGTGTGGAATCTTAGAATGTGGCTTTTGATTAGCGAGTAAGACAAGGCAGGGGACGTTGCTTAAGCGAACCCGAAACACGTGATGATAAGTCTTGTGTCAAGCACTTATTTGCAAATGAACATCACTGACTTGGTGCCTTGAGAAAACAATTCTAATGGTTAGAAGCAACTCTTGTAAATCAATAATCAGGCTGTATGCCGCCCACATCTTTGATAACTTCCTCAAACATTGTCTCGTATCCCCACAATCTCATCAAACCGTTCATCAAAAAGGGGACTTGCATGACTGCTGAATAGTTCCTGTCCCATTTCTGTTCTACTCACTGTTGGCCTATATTCTTCGAATCATAAATATTTCTCAACATACTGCTGATCGACTCCATTGATCTTTGTTTGTATCTCGATTTCTTATCCGATTTTGCGAGATCTCCCAATCCTTCATTTCCTTCCAATACGGATACATTACTGGAGTGACGCCGACTCTCACGACGCGATACCGCCCAATAACAAAAGTAGAGAATGCCTAAAGACTCATCCCGCTTGCTAACTTCGTTGTCGCCACTAGTCGTTCCATTTAGGGCTTATCCTTAAAGGTTTCCAATCATTCCGCTTCATGAGGCTTCGCGTCCTCCACTTCGACGCTTTGTAATGGCTCCAACGACCTCGGCTTCCCCAACTGCTAAGACTTCCTCCTCTTCTCAAGCTTCATCTTCTGATCGTTCGGTTCTCAGGCTCCTGGACTCGCATCCAACACAACAACGTCCTAACAGTAAAAGGCAACCGCACGCCTCTTGTAAGCTCGTCAGATAATCGGTCAACAGCTGCTTCGACCTCGCGTCAAGGGGATTCATTTGAAAGTACAACGTCGTCATCGTCAAGCGCATTTCTTCACGATCAGCTATCGAATCAATCCGGACAGCGCAAACGTCTTCGGTCCAGTCGTCTTATTCAGTCATCCATATCTCGTCCACCTCCACCACAGCCCTCTTCTTCAGCTCCTTCTTCTCTTGAAAAACGAAGCGCTGCTTTCCATAAAGCTCCTGTAGCTCATCGTTCGACACCCGAAGTCCCTAATCGGTCTTCTTTACGTCGCAAACGCCGATTTAGCGGTCTACCGCCACCCTCGAACAGCTTCAACGACCCACTTCATCCCTCCTCGCATTCAAATTTATCAAGTCGCAAAAGGCAAAAGTGTCCACCTACAGCAGACATGCGTGGGACTGATGGGGAACCTCTATCATCATCGTCGTCCTCCTCATCGGCTGACCAATCGACTGTTGTGAATCAATCTGAAGAACGAAAAGACGGGGGCGACCCACATTCTTCCGTCAGCTCTGCGTTCTCCGCTTTGGAGGGTTTGCTTGCTGCCGCATTTGGATCCAACAAGTCGAAAAAATAATAAGAAAGAAGAGACTCAGGAAGACTCCGGCAAAAATGACCAAGCCAGTCATTCATCATCAAGCACCCAACAAGTTCCAACAACTTCATCTCCACAACAGCAACTAGCCGCATTGTCGTCCTTGTTCAGTTCCGTCGTCAATCCTAAAGATGATCTCTTCCCTTGTTTCGATCGCCAATTTGGGACACGGTGGAGTACAAAGGTTGCGGGACTCGAAAGTCCCAATCCATCGAAACAGTCTGCGACATTGTCGGAATTGAGCGAATGGCTGGTCGTACGCAAACGAGGACTCCATGGGAGGCTTCCCACTCGATCGTATTATCCGCGCTTTGGTTGACATTCTTGCGGGGCGTCCTTCGTCGCGCGGAACGTCGGAAGGGAAAACGGCAAAGCGTCGCTGTCGTCCTGCGCGTTTGGAAGATGAAGAGTGGGTGGACCTCCCGTCGATGCTTTTTGAACTGGCTGATGAGGGGAAATTCTAAAGGAAACCATGGAAAGTCAGAAACAGTTCGAAGCGAAGACAGAAAGTTGCGAGGATGTCAGATTGGAAGGAGAAGAAGATGTGCCATTTGATCGGAAGAAATGATTGATCGTCAAGGGACTGATGGAGATGAACTTGTAGATGATGGTGCTGATGATGATGATGCTATTGATGATGAGGATGGTGATGAGGAACGTGAAGAGAGACGAAGAATCTTTTGTTGATGAGGATAGTCGAGCGATGGAGTCCCAAGAAGGTTTCGAAGCTCCCCACCCGTTTTGCCAAGCTCATCATCTCTTGATCCATTTGAGCAAGCGACTAGGAAAGTGACTGCGGGCAGAATGTCTTCATATGTTGATTGATGTAGCGCCCCATAGCGCAAAAATCATCGCAAGTGGTGATGGAATCACTGTTTTGTGTCAGCAGCTTCAACAGATCGCGTATATCGATTTAGCGGGAGCGAATTGTGGCGGTCCTGCAACAGTTGGCGTCAGAAACGCCGCGGAGTCTTTTGGAATCTGGAGGCCTTTCCGCGATGTTGGGATTCGTCGAGTTTTTCCCAATAGCTGTGCAGCGAACAGTAATCAAGGCGTCCTGTGTTCTATTGAGCCACGTGGAATCAAAACAGGATTATCAGAGACTCATCGACCCAAATTTACCACAGATTGGCGCATTGCTTCTGAGAGATGATGAGCAAATGCTGCAGGTTGGTCAATTACAATAATCTGATTTCTCATCTGATGGAATTATTTCAGACCGTTTGTCAAAGTCTTCATCGCCTCGCAGATTTTATTTCCCGCGAGAACGGAACCTCCGACGGTTTCGCTCGTGAGACATTTGATCAAATGACTGCAAAAGGTTTAACCAAAGATCTCATGTCTCTAATGCGAAGATCTGTTTCATCTGGCAACAGCGATTCAACTGGTAAGTCAACGAAGTCATCATTGACGATTGCATCTTCTCCAGCTGCAATCATTTCGTCCGATTTTGATTGATCTTTGTCTTCAGAAGAATCTCCCTTAGGGAACGGATATTTCTTCAGCCTTGAATGTTTGTATATTCTATCGGTCCTAGCATTCTATTCGAACAAGGCTACGGAAGAAACTGTTAGAACTCAATATTTTTTCCGTTCTAATGGAAACTGTTTGAGTTACAGGTATGATATTCTCCCTACTGATATCAAATTCAATGATCCGTCACTTCACAGTCGGTGCCTGGTCAAGATTCTTTGTTGATATTACGAGTTCTCGGTCTCGTCACGTCCCTCTTGCCTTCGCTTCATTATGATGTTTCATTCAATGGATCAAAACTTGAGGAGTGGACTTCTCACCGGCTCGCTCGGGTTGATCCTGAGAGGGCTGATGTGTTTTCGTTCGCATGAAGATGAAGTCTCCGTTTTGTGCAAGTCAGTTCACCCCCATACTTCATTTCTTAGCTGATTCTGTTTCTTCGTCTTCCCAGGGATTTCAATCAGCTTCTTCTTCAATCGCTGAAGCTCCCTACGCCAGCGGAATCTCTTCGACTTTCACTTTCCTATTTCCTCTCCGTATCAGTGCTGCATCAGCATTGGTCAGATCAAAGGCTTATCGCTATTTTTCTTCAGTCGCTCGATCCCTCTTCTCTTGCGACTTTCTTGTATTCCGTCTTGTCGGGTTCAAACGTATCAGGTCATCGTGACTCAACCAAGAACGGTTCAACAGACCACAGAACATCTTTGACGACAGTAAGTCTGCTTTCGTTGCAACGCACTTCTCTTTGTCGATGTGATTTATTCCTGCAACTCAATCGAACTCTGTCTTTTGTCAGACATTAGCCGCACTTCTCATCGCGTCCTCTCTCATGGAGTTTCAACCAGAGCGATACATCGATTCGTGGTCACGAAACGGAATTCCTGAACTTGTTCAACAGCTAGCAAATATACCGCAACGAAGCTCTCAGCTTTCATTGAAGGAAGAGTTGGATTTGTTCTCAACTCACGAAAGTTCAAATTGGAATTCAGTTCTTAACTCCATGACTGACGCGACATCAAGGATCTTCCATCGGAATCTTCGCCGTTCTTGATCAACGTGTCTTTGATGTCTCGATGGGCTGCATGCCAGCTTGGATGTTTCCTCGTCTCGGCGATGCTAAAGTCCCAAAAACAATCTTCTCTTGGGACAGCCTCAACTCCATCGCAAACGTCTCTGTTGCCGTCTCTGGCGAGTCAAATTCATAAAGCTCCTGAAATCCAAGTTCAGGAAGCGTTTCGCTCTTTGCGTTCTCTCTTGCTTCGAAATGTAGATTCGAATGAAATTTCGCCTTACGAGCTTTTTGAAAGCGGAATTGTCCGAAGCTCTCTGTTCGTACTTATTTGACGGACACGATAAGGGGACAGCTTGACGACAATCTAAAATCGAAGAACGACTTTCCTTCTTTGTCAGAGGACTCTGTGGTTTGTCAGGTGAAGCAGATGCTTCCGATTCTTGGACAACAGGTTGCATGGGATGTCCAGCTGATGTGAGGGCACTTTTGGTGCTTTCAACGCCTCTGCGTTGGCTGTATGGGACAACTTGAAAGACTTCCACTCCGTCTGCATACAATCGTGTCCGGCCGTCAAAATCAGTCGTCAGGTGCTCCAAAACATTCTGATTCGGGCGGCTGTCTACCTCGCCATCTTAGCGCGGATTCGGAATTAGGACACTCAGTCATCTCTCTTGCTCTGAAGCAGTTCGGGACGAATGTATCTGCATCGCCTGACCTCCCTGGCGGAGATCGACAAGAAGAAGAGCGTGCTGCTGACGGTCCTACTTCTCGAGTCGCACTCACTAAAGGCACGCACCATCACCTCCAGAGACATTTGATGTTCAAACCCCAAGCATTATTTCAACATTTGAATCGTGAAATCAAGGTATTTCGCGAGATGCGAAATCGGTCCCGTGATCCGATGTTCGATTTCCTTTCCATTGATTCTCAAACGAAATCAGGAACAGTAACTCAATGAGTTCAGAGAGTGAAACAGCATTTCCGGAGATATCTGCCTCGGAACTTGTAAAAATCGAGAAAAATAGAGAAGGCAGACGTTCAATTTTTACAAGAGATTGAAAAATATCAAGAAACGCCAAGTGACCTCAGATTTGCCGATCGATCGTATTGGAGGAAATGCAGATTTCTCAAGCATGATAATTGCGGACCCTCGATTAGCGGAAGATCTTTTGACGTTTGCAAATCGAACTCCCGAGCAGATCACGTTTTCTTCTTCAATTGTCCGTTGACATCCGGACAACAGGATCTCTCTTGGAACAGAGCCTCCGCGGTGTTGTCGAAAGACAACTGGAAGTTGTGGAAAGCAAACGGAAGGAGAAAAAGAAAAAGGTTGATGCTCCCCCTAGTGATGCCGCGACGGACGAAACGAAAGCGCATGATGGAGATGACGCCCGTCCCAGAAGCTTCCTCCAAAAATGCGAATTCATATTCGCGAATGTCTTCAGGATCGTCGTCCGCGTCATCAGCGAGTAGCGCACCACAATCATCGCAGGGTAGCAGAAAACATTTGTTTCGTGACTGTCAATGGCCATCTCATTCCAGCTCACATGACTCTATGCGAAGCGATGTGTCGCTACTCGAATGTTCTTACTGTTGATCGCTTATCGTGCAGTCGAAACGGCATTGCAGTGAAAAACGCAAACTGGGAATCGCTCGTCGATTGTCGCGATGGCAACAGCATCTCGTTCCGGCACCTCCGGAATTGCACACTTCAGCGAACCGCTTCGAAGCATCTCGATGAGGATGACGAAATTGAGCGAAGACCTTCTCTTTCCGTCAAATCGAGCGACGCGAAAAAGTTTTCGGCTTCGATGCAGAATTTAAGCGGAATCTGGCTGGCGGCTAACGAGTCGAGGACGTCTCGTCATTTTATCAAGGAGTGAGGAGCGTGCATTAGCAATTGAGATTAACGATGGACGAACAGAAGATCAAGAAACAGAACCAGCGGATTCGAAAGTAGCGTTGCCGAGAAAGGGATCAATGGTTTCGCCTCTCTGGGAGTTGATCATCATTGTCGCGTCGGAATCGGAGGATCAGAGCAGCCCCATACAACAGTGGAAGCGAACTTGGAAAAATTTGCTGAGTTCAAGGACTATTTCATAAGAGTACAGAAATTGGAAACGCATTCGAAACAAGATGGTGATGCTGGTCAAGACGAAAACGCCGAAAGTGTTGGAAGAAATTTACTGGAATGTGCCTGGCGATCAAATGTCAATCGGAACAGAAAAGATTAGAACGACTGAGAAAAAGAAGAAGCGGGGGAGAATTAAAACTACTTCCACCAGGATCGAAAGTGTGTGAAGGAGGTGAATCTGCAACGTTTACCCGATGGAACGCGGTTGCTCTGTGTTGCGTCTCTGCTGAACTATTTCCAGATGAAGAGATTATGCCAAGTTTGGGGGTTGTCGGTTGGTCGACGGTGACGCGTCGAATCCTATTCCCGGACTTGCCGGAGGTTCGACGTGCGCGGATGTTCTGAATCCGGAAGCGCTGAGTAAACGCCTCGCGGAGTTGTTGCAACATTTCGATTTAAGTTTGTTTGATTCCCCTCTTGTTTGTAATTCAATGAGGCCGAAATTCGGGCATTTATCTGTGTATCGCTCGATGGTTGAGGAAACGAACGACAACTGCGAGATCCAGACGACTCTGAAAAACGGCGAGCAAGACGCATCGAACTCCGTTCCGTGGATTAGTTCCGTGGGGTCGACGCTGGGACATAGCGAACGGGAGGGACGGTGTCATTCACTCTGTTGAAAGGAATCGCTGAACGAATGAACTACTTGAGAGGGGGGAGCGTCCCTGGTATCAGTCGGATTTGGTCTTCGACGCTGGGGCCTATCCAGAGGCTTCTCACGTCGAAGCAGAGGAGTGTATTGGGAAGCAGCGTCAAGATAATGAAAGTGATGCATTGCATGATGAGGATGAAGACTTTGTGGATGAAGCAGACGAAGACTTCGAGGATGATGGCACTCTGACGGTGGAGGAAGAAGACAGATCTATTGAAAATCGATGACGTGGATCAATCAAAGGGAAGGGGGAAAATCATTGAAAACGCTTATTGGTCAAACGGGATCAAGCAGGATAGAGGGGGACGTGATCCAAATCAGAAGTCCAACCCGACTCTCAGGAGAAGATTCAGATTCTTCCTGTTTTGCGAACGTCTTCGAGAACGAAGAAGCGGATGGTTTCGCCCGTGTCCCTCCAGCTCGCTTTGTTTTTGGGCCAACTTGTGGATGCAGTCATCGCTTCGAACAACTGTATTGCTGTAAGAGACCCTAACGTTTTCCTATCAGTTACTAATACAAATGGAAGTGAATCAATGGACCCTCTTTATTTCCCGTCCTATCGCCAGTTGCGTTCATCCTTCGCTTCACCAGTTTTGACAGTTAAGGCATCTCGTCAACTCGCAGATCCAATCGTCATTGCATCAGCTAAACTGCACGATGGCTCACAGCAGTAACGCCCACTGCTCCCCCTTCTTCTACCCCTCGATGTCAGAAGAACTTTACTGAAGTCAACTGCGGGAGGGTCCTTCATGGGACTCTTAGCGTTCAAGGAACGGGATACGTGAAAGCGCTGAAGCAACTGGCGCTCTTCAATCGTCTTTACATCGAAGCCTTCGGTTCTCTTCACGCCCTGGATCTCCTTCCAATTCTGATCCTTTGTTTGATCGTGGAAGAACAACACACGATGGTCCCGATGACATCACTGAAGAATCGGATCCCATTGCTGGAAAAACCGATCCTGTATTGCTAGCTCTTGCCCGAGAAATTCTCGGAACCGAAGACACGAACAAGCGGAAGCAGCTCGAAAGGCTATCAGAATTAGAACAGGTACGAGGATCTTCATATGAGCTCAATCCAATAGTTGTGCGAATCAGGCGTTATCTCCGCAAAAGGCGAAGATTCGGCTTGTGCGAAACCAAGCTCTTCCCAGCGCGACGAAAAGTTCTCGATTACCTTCCAACCTCATAATACAACATCAGCAGTACCTGCTTTAATGGAAATTGAATACTTTGATGAAGAAGGGGTTGGAAGTGGTCCAACTCTTGAATTTTTATTCTGAGGTGAGACTCTCGTCGAGACCTTCAACTCTATTTGATTTTAATCCTTTATTTGATTTTCAGGTTCTCGATTCACTTTGCAGTCTTGAAGATCCCCCTCTCTTCCGCCAAGAAAAACCCAAACGGTTGCGTCTTTCCCCCGAGCATACCAGTCGCCATTCACTTCTCGTTCTCCCCCGTCCCTCCTTCGCCGTCCTGTTCAAACGCGTTTGATCTCTCAGCGGGTTCCACAGGCATCCGCGTCGCAGGACACCAAGGGAGAGAGTGAAAGTGAGAAGAAAGAGGAACCTGCAGCAGAAATGAAACCGACCTCTTCGATTGAGGGATCTCTCTTCGCTCATTTTTAAACTTTTGGGGCAACTCTAACGCGAAGGCTGTTCTTGATGGAGGCTCATCGACCTCCCGCTGCATCCCTTGTTCTGGTCTTTGGTTCTCCTACCAACGTCTGAATGGCCATCTGTAGCCACTGAACCAGGATTAGCAAGCATTGATCCAACATTTGTACAGGCATTTGTGTCAATTACGTCAAATTAAAGAAAGCGGCCAAGATTTGGAACAACTTTCTCTCACATTCGTGCTTCCAGGTGCGCCTCTATTAGCGTGTCATGATGCTGATATTTCATTCTAATAGGAGCTAGTCCAGAGATCGAGTTGGTTCCAGGCGGAAAACATGTACTTGTCAACAGTGACAATCTAGAGAGGTTCATAAAATGTGTTTGTAACTGGACCTTGTGGAAGGGAATACGATGCAGGTATGTGACCCAATTCATAGTGCTTCGTTATCTTGGTGCTCGTTCAGGTTTGGGCGTTCCGATTTGGCGTTGCAACTCTGATGCCCCTCGGAAGTTTGGCTCTCTTCACTCCAGCAGAATTGACGAGTGCAGTAGCAGGTGGAGTCGGTCCAACAGACAAGGAGGAGTTCTGGTCGTTAGCGTGTTTGAAACGAACGCTTCTGCCTGACCATGGGTGAGTAGTTTCTTTATTGAATAATCCTACTCCTTCTTTTCAGCTTCTCGTCCACTTCGCCAACATTCGTGTTTTTCCTTGAAGTTGTCAGTGAACTCACTCCATTCCAGCGAAGACAGTTTTCTGAAGTTTTGCACTGGGACATCCGTTTTGCCTCATGGAGGATTCGCTTCGCTCAAGTATGTTCTGCTTGTGACGATCTTTGCTGATTTCTGTTTCGTTCAGACCTCCAATGAGGGTCGTCTGTAAAGGCAAAACAACTTTAGCTTCCGACGACACTCTTCCTTCTGTAATGGCTTGTTCAAATTATATTAAATTGCCAGCATATTCAACGAAATCGAAACTGAGGGAGCGACTTCTAATCGCTCTATCTGAAGGCCAAGGGGCTTTTACACTCTCATAAGACTCTATTTTTCTGGTTTTTTTCCCAGTCTCAGTACAGGCCCCTACTAATAGTAACTTTTTTATATGGATGAGTACTTGCCTACGGAGTTCTTTATTGCCCGTCGACGCACCTTACGTGAACAATCGCTCTATTCCACCATTAAGAAGGGCTGGATCTCTATAATGGGCTGCTTCACTTGCGCCTCAACTTCTTGTCCACGATCGACACCAGAAGAACCGGGGGAGATGCCGTCATCTCCCTCAGCAAGGAAACTTGTCAATCCAGGTATTGGCTGGCATCCTTTGAGAACGCACTAATCTCGATATTTGATACAAACAAAATCGAAGCAGATTTTCTACGCGAAGATCTCAAATGGGGCTTCGGGCCATTCGTTCCCTCTGGGTTACGTTCCGTCCGATAGGGAACGCTCTCAACGACGCCCTCCTCAATCGATTCAGCCAAACGCGACAATCATGTTGCGTTTTCCTGACTCCCAATGCCATGAACCCCTCACTCAATGCAAATGGATTCCTCAAGAAGCATCTGGTGTGATGTCGAGCCATCGTTCCGGTCGTTTTGCTGTCTGGGATATTGAACACCGCTCCGAACTAAACCACGCCTCTCTTTTCTCTCAAGGGCTCCCAAGAAGCTCTACGGATTTGCTGTTAGAGGAGATTCTGCATCAACCCAACGGAATGGTTCCTCTCTCATCGCCTGTTGCTTGGCTGATGCATCCCCTCCCTGTCTTGCTCTCGATCTTCGAGTAGGATCCTTCGTAGGATCCCTCTGTGTTTCCACTAAGGAGGGACTTTCTGGTGGTGGGACATCTGCTGCATTCCATCCTACTTCCCCCCTTCCTCGTTCTTGTGGGGTCTTATGATGGTGCCTTGGGGCGCGTTTGATACTCGAAAAACAGCTTCATCCATATTCCAGTTCAACAAGGCTCGTGTTGATCCAACGTTTGATACTGGGAAGACTGAGGACAGCCTTAGCAGGCTGGAACGATTGAAATCCGCCCTAAGACTCATAGGACCGCAGCCGTCCCAAGAGTCCCAAGAGTCCCAACAGGAAACTCCCAATCTCGGCCGGGTCGCAACCAAATGAAGAGACGCCCTTTCATACAAAATTGGGATTTTTCGTCGGAGGAACACATGTGGAAGTTTGTGGTCAATCAAGGTGAAGTGAAATCGGTGAAAAGGAAAACAATTGAGAGTCGGAATGAGAATCGAGGTACAGGGCTTGATCTCAGACGTTCTGGATTGTCACTGACTTCAGTGACACGACAATCTGAGCCTTCCGAACAACGGGCCGACCGGATTGTCAATGGACATCACAGTCCTATAACGAGCATTGCATTCCCTACTGGGGGGGAATCCGTTCTCTCATCGAGCTTGCGTCCATGGCGTCTCGCTAGAACTCTTGGTGCTAAAGAGCATCTTCGACTGTGGAATTCCTCTACCGGTGAATTCCGTCCCGTTTATTTCGATGCTCCTCCTTTCTCGACTCAAGAGAGACATGGAATCAGGGGTCCCAACTATCGCCCGACTTCAGGGGAACTTTTTGAATATGGAGGAGCAAGAGGCTTTTGTTTGTATTGCTGCGGTTTGGGAGAAGGGTTGGGTCTTTTTGATGTTTCAACCGGAAAGCTTCTCCAATTCCGCCCCAATGTGCATTTTAATCACGTTTCTTCAGTCCTGTCCACAGGTGTTGCTCCATCATCGACCTTTTTCAGCTGTGGAGTTGTCACAGGGGGGGACGATGGAAAGTTGCGTCCATGGCGTTCTGATGTACCTTGTCTCACTGAAAGACCAGAGAGTTACGCTACGAGTGAGCTTTCAGCTGAAGGAATCGATTTAACGGTGGAGATGATTCAACGGAGGCTGGAAGGGACTCTGTAGCCTGTAGTGACTGACATCTATGTGAACCTTATTCTTGGAGGATCATGGGCGATAAGACGAAAGAGTACGCGGTCACTCCATGTGGAACATTCAAGCACTCAATAAGAGTCCCCACGACGATCAGTAACTCTCTTCGATGTGAGACAAACTTCTGCTTCCCCGTCGACTAAATTCAGTGATGTTTGGAGAAGAAGTGCTTTTTTCTTGCGTCCTATTTTCTTTTCACAAAGCAATTCTTGATTGTGTGGAAGTAAATCTTTTCGAGGAGGGGCCCGCAATGGTCGGTGCAACCTTTTTTCTGGGACTTTCCGCCTCGTTAGAAAACCAATCCTGCTTTTCTGGTCCCAGATTGTTGGTCTGGTTCACCAATCTTGACAGCAATGGCTCTTTCAGCGGATGGATGGGCACAACATTCATCGAAAGATGGGCGAACATTTTGGCACAACGCAAAGGTGAGAGCCCACGTCAATCCACCCGTTTTTAGCCTTTCAAAAGACAGGAAAATCTACATGGGACAAGCCGGACTCACTCAAAAGTGAACTTGAAATGCTAATGGCATCACAGACACCCTGGAAAGTAAGATATCCTGAAACAATGCGTTCCACTCAGTTTCGTTGCAGGAGTACTCGTCAGCTGATGGCCGCCCCTATTGGTACAACAAGGAAACCAAAAAGAGTGTATGGGAGTGTCCGGAAGATGTCCAACTGTTGAAGCAAGAGGTGCGTTCTGTGTAGCAGCCACGGCATATGATTGTCATCAACAGGCTGATTGCGAATGGAGTGAATTTAAGGATAAACCGACGGCTAGCGATAGACTGAAAGTAAGATTGTTTCACCTCTTCATCAACATGCGTTTTTGACGGATAGACGCTTTTCAAGCTGAAGAACCTAGGAATGAAAACAAAGTGGGAAGAAGCATTAAATGCAATCAAACAGGACCCTCGATTCGTTTATTTTGCTTGTCTCTCAAATGGTGAGAAGAAACAGTCTTTTGCTGAGTTCCAGAATCAGCTTCAAAAATTGCAAAGAGAAAGGGATCGTGCAAAAAAAGTCGAGGTAAAGTAAATCCAGATGCGGCGATAGGAGTATCGACGATGATATCAGGGACGAAAGATGTTTTTGGAAGAATTAGCAAAGTGGCCCCCCCTCAACCCTGGGTCTCTCTCATCCGAGTTTGAAGAAGACAGACGAGGAGAATGGTGGATGAGCTGCTTTAGTCAATCAGAGAGGAGTGATTTATTTAATGAATTTTTGGAGGAGTGGGATTCAACTTTCTGGGAAAATCATCGCAACAACAGGAAGAAGCAAAGAACGGTTGTAAGAAGGCTTCATTCATTCAACTCCAAATTTGATTTCTAACAGGTTTTGGAGTTTTTGCGATCATCTCCCAAAATATCTATTGATTTACCGTACGTTACTCTCTCTGGTTTTCAGAGTGCTGTTCCCAATTTGGTTGCAGTTGGCGGGAAGCAGTGGAGATAGTCCTGGATCAGAAATCACTGAAAGGAATAGAACCAAAAGATTATATCAAGTGCGTCTACGTAAGGCCTTGCATTTCATCTTCTGGTTCTTTCCCAGTTGTTGGGAAGAGTTTGTTCACGAGGGAGAGCATGCTGAGCGGGAGAAGCTTAAAAAACTAGTTCATCGTCAGCGAAGAAAACGGAGAGAGAGGTTCACTTCGCTTATAGAAGTACGATTTCAAAGATGGTCCATTTGAATTTTGATATTTCAGAAATGTGTCGGAGATCGGAGCTTGAATGCCCGAATTCCGTTTTCTGATTTCATCAGTCAGCACCGGGATGATCCCGAGTACGTCGACTTGGTTGGCGTCCCCGTCGCTACTCCCAGGGAAATCTTTGAAGCTGAAACGGACGCATTAGTTGTGAGTGGCTCAAACGAGGGAACTTGACGTATTAAGCGTTTGACTTCAGGAATCTTATGAAGCTCAGAAGCAAATATTGAAGACAATTTTGAGATCGAACAACAATATTCGTGTAACTCCATCAACAACATATGAAGAATTCGTGGAATATTTGCAAGCCACAGAAGAAGCAAATCAAATAGAAGAGGTGGGATTTTTGCTAGTATTTACCGGTAATAACTCTTTCGTTCTGCAGGGGAATTTGCGGCTCTTCTACGACAGTTTGAAGAGGCGAGCTGCAAGAAGGGAGCGCGAAAAAGAGGAACTGAACGATCAGCAGAAAGACGACGGGCACCAAACAATTGAGTGAGTGATTCGGATTGAGTTAGTACTAGCAATAGTTTTGAGAAGTCTTGTAAATGCGTGTTGTGGATTTCTCATTCTTCTAGAACCGATCAAGCAAGAAGGAACAATAGCGAAGAGAATCGCGATGAATCGTCAGCAAGGGAATCTCTTCGGTATAAACGGCAACGAGAAAATGATTCTGATGGTCAAAGTAGTGATGAAGAAAAGGACCATGAAGAACCCTCCAGCCGAAGTCTGTCTTGCAGCGAGCGATCAAAGAGGAAGAAGCATCACCGTGAGGCTATTTCCTAGTGAGGGGATTCAAACCAGGAATTTCCTAGTTTCAAGTTTCTGAGGTTTAAAGCGGTGTTAAATGTGTTTTTCCTAGATTTTTCTTTGAACAAGTAGTCTTTACAGCCTAGTACTCAGAGAGAAAGTCGCGGCAGACTCGCATGAGACAGAACCCAAGACGGTGTGGACCACCAAGTCCCAAAGTGGTTATTCCAAAGTGGTTATTCCAAAGTGGTTATTCCCAAGTCGTTATTCCAAAGTGGTTATTCCAAAGTGGTTATCCCAAGGCGGTTATCCGAAGTAATCGTTAGCATGCTTCAATGTATGACTTCGAAACATGCATTTGTCCGAGAAATTTGTGAACAATAAAAAATACAAGTCGCATTTGCGCCAAAAGGAGTGTCGCATTTGCGTTATATGGAAAATACAAGTCGCATTTGCGCCAAAAGGAGTGTCGCATTTGCGTTATATGGAAAATAGAAGTCGCATTTGCGCGAGAGGCGCGAAAAAATCCTTCGATAGAGATAGAAACAAAACAGAACGAAATAGTCATCAGGGGAACACTATCCTACAGTTATCAATTGAGTGGCTCAGCCTTAGGAGCGTCACTGTCCAAACCATTTCCAGCGACGTCACTCAAGACCTTTTGATCTAACGCCTCGCCAACGACGGCAAGGTCGCGATAGTAGTGGAAAACCTTCCAAGTGACAAAAGCGCCCAAACCCGATGCAAGCCACAAGAAGATGCCAGATAAACCGAGAGCCACGACTGACGGCATCACGACGTCACACATTCCAGAGACGACTCCTCCTTTCAAGGACGTTCCAACAAATTGGCAATTGAAGTCCTCCAAGTTCTTATCAGCTTCGTCCATCAACGCTTCGAAGCTCCCGAATGTCGTCTTCTTCACGAAATCCATGATACCGGTGTTAGCGAGGTCGAACGCATCAGTGAGCGTCTTGGCAAGCTTCCCGTTGTATTCGGTAAGAGCTGCTAGAAGGTCAGCCCACGTGCACTTTGAATAATCGTCTTCTTGATCCACCCGGATAACATCGAATTTTGCATCTAGACGACGATCGGAAATTTGACTTGCTTTCCCAGTGTATCGCGCTCCTTTGCATCTTGATGTGAAATCTGGGAAGTACCTCTTGATGATGGTATCGAGATAGATGGCCCCTCCTCCTGCCTCTGTAAGTTCATCGAGTATCCTTTTTGCTCCTTCAGGAACAGCACCGCCACTAAAAAGCTTCGACTTGAACGGGGTTTTGGCTCGTATGGCGATATCAAGAGATTGTCCCATGAACCAATCATTGTGCATTAGTGTGGACAGTATTTGAACCACCGCTTTAACATTCTACAAACAAAACAGTTTCCAGGGCTTCAAGACTCATGGTACCAACCTGATTGTCTTCCGTCTTCAGAGCGACCAATAGCTTCTGGAATCTTGGATCCTTAAACGGATGTTGCAAAGGAGGGAAAGGCTTCGACGGAATCTCTTCCATAGGCCCTGAATCCGCGGAAAGGACAAAAGCCTTCGGATCCCTGGAGTCGCACAGTCCTTTATCCGCGAGATAGAGAGGACAGAAGAAGTCAAAGTCGATGGTTTCATCCTTCTCCTTTGCAATCTTTACGAGACGGTTCAACTCGAGTAATGCTTTCTCGGAAGACACAGCGTTCGGAAATAACTCTTTGAAGGCGTAGGATACCAGTTTGATGATATCCGCTAACGGAATACTGCCTCCTTCCCCGCTGACAAGGGCGTCGAGAGGGCCTATGATGGCGTAGTCAGGGCGGCCACTCCATGGGAAAACATGATCAACACCGGTCTGAAACCGAAACATGCAGAGAAATTGAAGAAGAACGAGGAACTCACGACGACGACCTCAGCCGTGACACCGGCACTCGTAATTGTAAGGAATGCTCGATCAGTGTACACCAACTCAGCGGCTGACTGAGCAATAGACGCAAGCGTTCCGGTCTTCAGGCTTTTAAATTTGAGATCCAGCGTGTCCTCGACAGTTTTGAGGAGACTCATTTCCGTGGTACCGATCGCTTGTTTCAACTTCTCCATGAACATCTTGATTCCAAGAGTAGCCGCCACATCACCGTCACCGGTCTCCTTGACACAGCAATCCAAGACCGAGGGAATACTCGTCTTTCGTGATACGGTTTCGTTCAGAAGGGAAGGAGGGAAGACACCCCAATTTCCTTGGTCATACGCAACTTGTTCAACGAATCCACACCCGTCGCTGCCTGCGTTTCCCGCGAAGAAGAGGACTGAGGACATGAACAGTGAGAATCCCGAAAAGACCAGAAGAACGACGTATGTCGCGCCCAAACATGAAGTCATTTTGTGGGACGGAATTGTTTCCGTCCGGATCTTTTTATTGAGAGTGAAGAAGACAGCAGAACCACCGACCGCAAAGAAGAGAGCAAGAATTCCCAAGATACAACTTATGGCAATAACGGCAGTCAATGCAGACCAGACCATAGGCCAGACGGTTTTCTCCCACATAATAATCAATTTCGCCATCACAAAATCCACATCACCAAGAGACGTTGCGGAATTATCGGCAGTCGCAAATGCTTCTGCCAGCATCACAGAATTTCTTCCGAGATACGTCCCAAGATTCTGTTCGAATAGCTTGATTCCAGACTCCGTTGTTGTATCAAGGTCAGTCGCGTACGTCTTCAGCATCGATGGAAGAAAGTGGCGATACATCATTCTCACTGGCTTCTCATATTTACTGAATAAGAACTTGATATCGTCGGTTTCGAGGTTTGGATAGATATTGTCGAAAAGGAGCGCCCCGAAACCTTCTGTTGCAATTGCGCCGGCAAAACTCTCAGACATCACGCGATCCCGGGACCCTCTTAGAACGGAAACCAATGACTTCTCGTTCCCGTTGAAAGCGAACATAATCTTCTCACAAAGAGGGCAAAGTTGTTCAGAATCAGCTAACGACCGTCGGCCTGCGGGTTCTTCACTGGGTGCACCTGGCCGGGGATTAACTGTCTCTTTGAGCTTTGACATAACAAGCCACTGGGGATGAGATCCTTTCCAATCTAAACTGACGTCGGATGCAGCATGCATCTTTGTTGCGCCAAAATAGTGACCCTTCATCGACGTCCAAAAATCGCACGCCAGTGAATTCCGTCCATAAGACAATTGCGCAGAGTAAACGAAGGCGACGATACCAATAGCAATCATCGCAATGAGTCCAAAGAGTGAGAGAACTTTGTATCCCGTCGTTTTACACGTCTTTAGATTGCTCAGAGGTCTTCGAGGGCGATCAGTACAAGCTCCACCGATTTTTCGAAACTTGCTTCTAAAACATTTCATCAAGGAGAAGGCGAGAGAAATGGTTAGAAGGAAGATGATAAAGGTGATGACGGTATACGCGATGAGGCCCCCCTTGCTCATAACATAAGATCCCATGTTCGAGGACTGAACAGCGTGGGTGAGGCGCTCCACTCCTGATTGCGATCCAAATGTCGAGAAGAGTGATTTAGACGCCGCATTAGGGAAGACAAGAAGGCCGTTTTCGAAAGAGTTGGGATCCCTGCAATATTGAGCGATTTTCTCATCGAACATCGGCGACCAGGAAGCGTAGTTTCCATCAGCATGAGGGTACCACTCGGTGTCCCCGGGACCGATTGAATTGAATGAAGCGAAAGGCATTGTAACGGAGACAAAAAACCGTTGAATTTGATACAGAAATAATTACAGAAGATTTGAAATCAAAAGATCAGAAATTGATTTCAAAAGAGTCGCATTCAATTGAAAACAAAAACGAGGGCGAAATTGACCCTTGAGAAAGATTGTCGCGTTAACAAAAAAGAATTAGAGTGCTGAAAATCCAGCAAAACGGTCAGTGTGAATCTGCCAAAAACGTCCTAGCCGATCTAACTGAACCGCAACAGGACGCGTCAGGCACCATGTCCCAATAACATGCGGTACGCTGCTCAACGCCAGTTGTTGGAGACTCGTGACACACTTGTTATATCAACTTAAAAAAGTTTTGTAAAAGAAAAAGACAAAAAAAGGAAACTTAAGCTCTTAATCGACTAAAGCGCCATTCAGAAATAAAACTTGAAGTGACCATCTGACTTTAAGACGCCAAAGTAGAACCACACGAATGATAGCAAGCAGTGAGACAACAACTGCTGGACACAAAATTGCAACAGTTAAATAGTAAGGATCCCGAGGGAAGACCAACAGAAAATCATCTCGATTAAAGTTGGTTAAACCGCTCAATGACGAAACTCCAAACGGAATGATAAAAAACCGAATAACGATCCTATAGTAGACTCATTGATATATTTGACAAAGGCGGTTCTTCCTCTAGCTCATTGATATATTTGACAATGTGGCTCACCCCCAGTCGATCTTCATTTCCACGGTGTCGATACTTTCGCCGTACTTTCTTAACTCAAGGAGAGCGCGTGCGTGTCGATGATGTCGGATCGAACCACGTCGACGGGGCACAGTGACAGATTTGTACGCGTTCGCATTGAGACCAATTCCGACTAAAATGCTTGCAATTGTCGCTGATAACCAGACTGTTGAAGGAGATTGTGCCGCAGTCATCGCAACAATCACTGCCCAGTATGTAAAGTAAACCTGAATAATAAAAGTGAGAAGAGATCGAAGGGAAAGTCCCTCACCCACAAAATCATAAAAGGCAGTTCAGTGATTTCCAACAAACGTTGCGTTCCTCGTCGAATAGGATGTTCCGGTATGACACGGACATCGTATCGATATCGCGAAGGGTCGTCTTTTGCTTCCATCATGCAAAATTTGACAAAACCTTGTGTCATGCGCGAGAAAAAGGATGGCTGATAATTTCGGCACACCATGGCGTGACTGTCGTGGTCATCGTCTCCGTCAATACTGCCGTTGCGCTGCTTCTGTTTGTTCTGTGGAACCACTCGCAATGGGCAGGTCGCGCAATTGCGGCAAGGACATTGGCACAGGGTGCTGCAGGTCACTTGGCTTGGCTTATTAGCGTCAGTCTCGC